TAATAGTAAAATTTTTTATATTAATTATAATTTTATATTTTTTTATTAATTATATTTTATTACCTACTTTATATTGTTTTATTAGTACAATAAAAAATACTTAAAAAATATGTTTTATTTCATCAGTTATGCTCGCTACTATTCTGATGAATCGATTCACAAAAAATTCGAGGTCTAAAAGATCGGTTTCTCAAATATCGATCTTTTTACGAATTGCTTTAGGAGTTCATATTTACAACTTCAAAAGATACAACAAAGTACGGATTACAAACTAAACTTATTTTTATATATATATATATATATATATATATATATATATATATATATATATATATATATATATATATATATATTTATATATATAAAAATATCTTTAATTCATTAAGAAGAGACGAAAGAAACTGAGCACACAGCAGTGTTGCGAGTTTTTGAATAGAAAAACTCTCATTCTTTAGTTTGGGTACATTCAACTAATTGTAAATAATCTTGTAAATAATAGTCCTTAAAAAGCAGGAAAAGATTCGATGTCGATTTTCTGGGGTGAAATATCGATTCACTGGATCGATTGTAGTCTGAGTATTAAACCAAAGGAGACGGCATCGCAAGGCATACCCCTCTGTAAAAGTACGAGAGTCCGACTCATACCCGTTATATAAAACTAATTGCTCCGCATCGTGCGTCATTACAAAATGATCGTGCCAGTAAATCGAGCTCCGACAAAATACCGAATTGCAGTGTATTTACATGAAAAAAAAACAATCAAAAAGTCAAGTATACAAAAGGACAATGTGGCATTTCATCTGTGAGTATTTTTAACATAATATTAAAGTAATTTTATCATTAAAACTCGTACTTTGTGAATATTTTCGTCCAATACCAAGTGTAGCCATTATAGTTCATAAATTGAAAAATAATCTATTTTTAAATAAATATAATTTACTACACATGTTAAATATATTAACGAAAATATATTCCTAATAACTAAATCAGTTTGTGATGAATAATAATCATTACATATAGATGTGTAATGGATTTTGTTGAATGATTTATATATTCAGCACAATTTCAACACGATACTAAATATTATATAATTTAATATAATCGATAACTAGTATTTATCAAAATATTATACAAAATAAAGGCTAAATAAGTCAAAATGAAACTTGCTACTTCGCAGCAAAAGTGTGCAATTTTTATAAAAATAAACTGGTATCACTGCAGCCGAAAGTATTGCACTATAGTGATGAACACTACAACTTTAGCTATCGTTAAGTTAATTAACCATGCGGGTTTGTCTGCCGAACCGGTTTGTAGTTTTTATTTAGCTTTTACAATAAAGTATTACAAAAAGTAGTAAATTTTTCTGTTATTGGTTTGTTTTTACAGATTTCTAAAAGATCCTTTTAGACGACAAACTTGGATTGTAGCTTGTAGAAACCATGAATCTTGGATACCTAAACGGACTAGCACCATTTGCTCCGAATATTTTGAAAAATCATATTTCACACCCCAAGCTTACAATAAAAGAAGGTTAGCTGACACTGCAGTAACAACCATGAACTTTTGGGAGGTAATGTTTGTCTGTAATTAGATTTAGTTTAAAAATTTTTATTATTACCTTTGACACTAATATTATTGAGTTCACTACTTGAAAATATTTTATTAAGTTTACAAAAGCATTAATCTATCAAATTTAATTCATATACTATATACATATATATATATATATATATATATATATATATATATATATATATATTTTTTCAACGTGTCCCAAAATTCAACGATAAGCAAACACCGGAGGAAAAAAAATATATATAAGTAGATATATATTTTTTTTCTTTTTTTCCCCGATTAGTCCGGGGCAGGTCTATCCTCCGGTGTTGGCTTATCGTTGAATTTTGGGACACGTATACATATATATATATATATAGCCCGAACTAGTCCTACTCTCACTGCGAGTACGAGCCAACACTTAGGCCAAGGAAAATTAAATTGAAAAAATGCCTTGACATAAAAAACAATAGCATAAACAGGCTTCACAAGTTTGGAAGAAAGACTTTGCCCGTACACTTAACTATTACTCACCAAAAGCCTATCGCTATGTACGTAAAACTTTTGGAACATGTTTGCCTGCCGTCCGAAATGTGCGTACATTGACTATGTGATACACTACCATCGATCGCCGACCAGGGTTTACTCAAGAAGCGCTGACGGCATTAAAATTGAGTAACCGTGATAAAAAAATTTATTGTGCCTTGGTCATGGATGAAATGAAAATTAAGCAATTGACGGAACACCATACTAGCAGCCAAAGGCATTATGTATATAACCAAAATGTCTTTTAGAACTTGCATAGTACTCCGTCAATTGTTTTATTTTCATTTCATCTATCACTAATATACAATACAATTTCTTGTCAGGGTTACTCTCTAGTCTAAGTTTTAAAACAGTTAACGCTTTTTTTTGTGTAGCCAAGTCGGCCATCAATTGTACATTATTATGGTTCATTAGTTTAGCAAAACATCTTTCTGGGGAATACTTAGCCCTAGCTGTCTGTTTAAAGTTCACTTTGTTCAACTGTTATATAGTGTAAAACTTTTTATTTTCCTAATTTATTAAATATTTTCCAGATAATTCATTTAATAACTCTTCAAAATCAATAACTTTTTATAAATAACGGTTTTTTGATTGAAGCCTTATAATAAAAACAAAAACTAAGATAATAAACTGATAGGATTTTACTTTTTATAAATCTGATTTTTAAAATAAGTTTACTAAACCTCCTATTTCGATTTGTTAAATATTTTAAATTTTATCCTGCATAATGTAAAATAAACGTGTAGCAAAATAATAAAGTTTCTTTCAATAATTTATAAGCTTTTTCCCGAAGATCATTTTTAAATACTTTAAAAAAAGAATTTCAAATAACACCTTGGTATTATTTATCTATGTATTACTTATAATCATATAAAAACTTATGCGGACGATGTTGATTTGTTTATCGATAAAAATATCGACATAGTGCACGCCTTAAGTTGCTTACGCATTAAGCCAGCGCTATCAGTGTATCGACACGTGTACAATTTGATGGTTTGCGTAAACGCGATGAACACAAACACAAATGTTGTAGTGTGCGTTTATAGTGACACGATTTAATTTTGCATTTGTGGTTAAGTATACAGTTGTGTATTTCTCTTGCGCCCCCCTGATGTTGACAGAATTTTTGTTTAGGAATTAACGCGCATGGCCTCTCCAGTTGGTTGAATACTCAAAAATTGTAGTACTATATTTCGATTTAAAAAATCGATCTTTTTGGCAATAGAGATCGATTCTTCGATTAATCCAACTCAGATCGCCATCCCTAGTTCGAGACGTAACTTTAACCTATAAGTTATAACTTAAGTAAATAAGTAAAGTTGTAAATTGGTTGTAAACTACGCCGCGCCGTCGCGATCGAAAAAGTTTTCACATAGATTTTTACAACGAGGATAATTGTTGAAGAGTTAATTTTATTTCGTTTTATGTGAACGACGTACTTATAGTTATGGCAGGACGTTTTTTTCGCTTGTAGGATGTTTGCTGCCACTACAGCATAAATAACTAATCACTATCAGTATAATAGCATAACGCCAGTGTTGAAGCAAGAGCTCGTGCATATTTTAGTCCGTTGTTACACTCCGATGACAGGCAATTTTGGGATAGATGTCGTATTTTCCATTAGTGTTCAAGTTTTATGCATTTCTAGTCCGTGAAACCTACTTACAAAACACCACAGAGTACCTTTGTATAAACTGAAACAAAGCATCAAAGTTCAAGGTTAAGTTCAAGAGTAAAAGTTAAATGCCATTTAATGCTCCAAAAATGTCATCATAAAAGCACATTAGAACGAAAACATTTTTTGCTTTTATTTTAAAACTCAATTATTAACAATTAAATGGTTAATTCACAATCTCATTAGATTAACACAAACTGTCGAAACCTTGATCAAATTACGAAACATAAACAAATAGGTAATAAAGATCGTTATAATAACCACAAATTTGATAGACAGATGCTAATATAAAGACCACTAAATAAAAATGTCATTCTGAAATTGGTTAGTTTATCTCACGAAGCGAACATGTTACTAATGGGTATTTTCCGAAATACAACCCAGTACACTGGCAAATGCGAATGACGTCATTAATTGACGCCGTATTCCACCATATTCGATACAACGAGTCACCATTAGGGCGTCGATTTATGACGTCATTTGCATTGGCCTGTGTACTGGGTTGTATTTCGGAACATACCCCATAAAACCAAGAGTAGGAATAAACACCATTCGCGGTGAGCAAACGCGAATCGAAAGGTTAGCTTCTTTGATTATATGGACAGGTATATAATCAAAGGTTAGCTTCGATTGTAGCTCACACTTGCTCCACTCTCTTGTCTTCGCTTACCGATACCGATGACGTTAACTCAGTTAACGCGATGGTGAAGACGCGCACTAGGCACACAGATGGGAAATGCTCTCGAGTTGTAGCCTCGTATAGATAAACGTAGTTTTGAGGAAACCCCACGACCTAATGAAATATGCAGGGAGTTGTCCGATATATTACTTTCCTCTATGCAGGGAGTCGATGGATGTAGATCACTCCTGGCAGTGGCAGTGGTGCCGTCTATCTGTCCATAGTTTCATTATAATCGACTTTTCCGAAGCTTAGCCCGAACAGATGGATAGATAGACAAAAATTAAAAAAAAATGGTTGTAATGTCCTAACAACGTGCAAATAACCCCCCGAGTTTAATAAAAGCCAGTTATTTCATAATAAAGACGGAAACTTTAATTTTATTTATATGTATATTTATATAAACAAATGACATCGTATCAATTACTCAGGCAAATTGGCACTCTATTTATCAGTTTTACCATTATATTATACACTGCTTGTACCTTATCAGTATAAGAACGCACGCATATCAGTGATAACGTGTTTTAAACTGTGCAGCGCAACATGTCTCAGGTAAGATATTTTTTTTTATTCATTTAGGGTTATAATTTGTAATGTAAGCGCAAACGTGCAAACAGTTCTCAAGTAAATTACATATTTGTTATATCATCTCATTCTCTTCCGATTTCTATTTGCATCGACAGCATCAAGACCTCCGTGAAAGTGAAAGTGTTCTTTTACCGGCTTCGGACCGCTCCACTATGGGACCAAACGGAGTGTTCCATAATATCTAAATTGGTTCGGACAAAAGTCGCGTTACTGAAACCGTTTTGATTGTTTATTATATATTTTATATATATATATATATATATATATATATATATATATATATATATATATATATATATATATATGATATAATAGTAAAAATTAGTAATCAGTTTTAGGTATATAAAATTACATCGAACCTGCACTTCGATAATTTCATATTAAATTAGATTACTCATTATGGAAGTACAACTTAAGATATTTTTTAAGATCTTCAAGGAAATATTATATAAGTTATATACATTTTAGATTGCTTAGGATATCTTGCTTTACGTTATGTTTTTATAATAAATATTTTTTAATTTAATTTTTAAGTATAATAGGGTAATTGTTTGTCTTTTTGATTTTAAAATTGAGGTTTCCTTGTTCTCGATAGCTGCTGATGTTGAGTTAATGACATTTTTAGATTTGTTAACTGTATAGTAATACTAGGGAAAAAAAAAACCTCCATCATTACCGCGCCATTTCGAGCTAGAAAAAAATGCCGATTGAGGCAAAAATAAATAAATTGACGATTCTCATTATTTGCACTTATTTATGACATTTATGGATAAAAAAAACTTATTATTTATTGTTTACAATAAAATACTATTATTTAACATGTCAGTACAAAATATCATAGGTTTATTTAATATTTGTAAAAAAAATTACCTGAGATTTTTTATTTGTGGTGATCATAATTAACCACACGTACGATAAAAAGTAAAAACGATGTTGCATGCTTCTTATTTGTTATGATAATCTTAATCGGTATTGGTTATAGCATTCCTGTGAGAACTATTTTAATTAATTTAGCGTTATGTGAAAAATGGACAACCATACTTGTATCTACAAACGTAACTTTTTAGAGAATTGTAAAGTTAAAGCAGAGGTTAGATTTTGGTAGATTCTAGAAGTTACGAGAACGTCTATAACTACTATAACGTAAACTATACCACAAAAAGTACGAATTACTCATAATTGTAAATAAAAAAAATTCTTAAATAATTTATGAATTGGATTACTCATAAATGCTTTTCTATAATAAAGTTCATCTTCATTTGATTTATAGCGAAGGAATCCCAAGTTTTATTGTAAGATAGAGATTTGGTTTCTAACGTAGCACGTTAAAAACTAAATCTCTATCTAGTTCTAGTAACGTGGACGTCGGGCCCTAACCTCAGGTTAGTCACCGCGGTTTGGTCAACAAGGAGGTACCCACTTTTTAGGCCCGAGGTGGAAGTGTGGGGGAAGAGACGACATACACAGACCACCCAGCCTACAAGACATAAAACCATTATAATTCTCTAATTAAATTAGTCTGTCAAGGTTAGAAGAATGAAAGGTGTGCGGGCGGCGCGGGAGACTTAAATTAGAGATGTGTCACATCCATATATCGTACGCGTAAATATGGGAGACTATGAAAACGTAACGTAAATTTAAACATATGAATGATGCGTAAAATACACTGTTAAATACATGTAAAGTTCTATAAAATATATGACATGTATTTTACATGTCATTTACAACGCTAATTACTTACCATAAATCCATATCCCTTTTGTATCACCATCAGCTGGGAATCTAAGCAAAATTAATTCTGATAAGTAATTAGTTAATTACCTAACTAAACCCTGAAATAGCATACCTAAAGTTAGCGGCTAATTGCTATACTTTGAGTAAATCTATTTAAAAAAATATTATGGGCAATCAAATTTCACCAAGGTTTTAATACTATAATAGCAAAAGTTTTCGTCAAAGTGCTATAGTTTCGGCAGGCAGTAGGGTGACTCCCTGATAAGGAGCAGTGTTTGAAGATCTGGAGGTTTTTCAATACTAACTGTCACCCACTGATAAAAGTCCCAATAACTCATTTTTATCGCCGATGGCTCCTTTTTGGAGTACAATTATGTCAATGAGTGAGTAAGTCAGTCAGTAGGTGAGTGGGTTTGTAAAACTGTAATTTCGATTTCAATTTATAATTACAAATAGATTAATACACAAACATAATAGAATAACTGTTCGTCTACACAAACAATAATAACACAATAAATAGTCGATAAACTTGCATCGATATTTTTTTGGCAATCTCTACTTGCACGTGCCGCTTGCAGCCCCTCTGATTGATAGACAGAGACGCAACTATAATACTAAGTGCTTGACAAGGACAGCCTCAGAACTACGACCAGAATATGTTGAACCCTCACGTACTTACTATATTAAGATTATTAAATGTTGCACTTACCGGCGAAACGTGATTTTATCCTTCTTGAAATTATGTTTCCTACTATCACTACCATACCACTTTACTGCGCAAGTAGGCATGTTTTACTGTTTTTTATTTTAAAAAATTGTAGCGCTAAGGACGCAGTGCAAGGGTCTGATTTCTGGTCACCACTAAACACTAAACAGGGCAGCGTTCGTGTTCAACTATATAGGCTCTGGTTGAGCAGATGAAGTACAGAAATTTGTCGCCTTTCGTTGCATATCTCGTAGGCAGGGTGGTTTGCTTGAGACGATGTACGAGTTACATTACGACATCCACGGAACGTAATACGCGACTAAATGACATATTCGATATTCTGTGAAATCGTGATTTTCCCTAGTCGAACTTAAACTGTACCGCTTTAATTTCAGCCAGCAGGATATCTTGGGCCTCAGAGCTTCGGCGAGGACGGCCATGTTCGTGGGTTCGACTTCACCGAACAGACCATACGAAGAGGATTTATACGAAAGGTACACAACACAACAAATGCAACACGATGTATACCATCTTAACTCAATAATTACATAAACTGATTTCATACAGGTAATAATAAATATGTATATGATTTCATATAGGTAATAATAATAGCATAAATAATGGGGGGTAGGGAAGTGGCGACCCCATCGCCCACGGACTTTATAGTTAAGTGATAAAACTGCAATCTCGTCGGCGCAGTCAGCGCCTTGCCAAGAGGTGTGATGTGAGCGCCGTGCCTCGGCAGAATTGAGGATGGAAAGGCCCAATTGTGCTTATGGCTGCACCATGAGACGGTGCCGGGCCTAGACGTCTCCCGTTAATTGACGCCCACGGTATGAATGATGGACATAAAAGGAACGCGTAAAGAGCCGCTGTCTGGGGGTCCTTAGGGCGCTTCTGAAGCTGGCGCTGGATGCGACAGCATGCGAGCGCTATCCCAGCATGGATAAGAAGGATTGAGGACCGTATCGCAAAGGCAAGGGCCCTCATCGGCATACTAATAAGCTTCAGGTTGGGCAATAATAGGCCGAGAATTGTGCGCACCGTCAGGATGGTGTTTGCTGGGAAAAATATCAATTTTTCCCAACCGGGTATAACGTGAAATCTGACGGAGCGTATAGACGACCTGAAGCAGAGAATCGCTGTTTGGGGAAAACGGATTTGGTGATATACCGAGAGCTCCTTTTGAGCTGGAAACGATACATTCTATCTTAGTCCTCACGGGTGACAACGCTTTTGGATTTTGATTCGTAATCGAGGATAGATGTAGATTTCTATGGGCCACATCAACTGCTTACCATCAGGTGTACTGTATGCTCGTTTGTCACCCTATACTACAAAAAAAGGTCGACACAGTTCAACCAGAATCGTCTCCTTCAGAGTGATCAAAAGAGGCTCTACAAATCATTGGAGCAGCCAATGGTACGTGCAACGGGCCCAGTACCGAACCAGGCTGACACTGTCGCATTCTAGCGTGGCCTGTGGTCAGGGATCGTAAACTACAGCGAGGGACCTTAGACGGAAGATGTGACGAGTCAGTGTGCGAATGTTAGGTCCATGGACCCCGTTATCATATCGACGGACGACATAGCTGAGGCGGCCCAAAGGGACCCGAATTGAAAAGTCAGGGACTGCATCACTACTGGCTGAAGGGGTTCGTGGTGCGTCATGCTCTGCTCGTCCGATAGTTTCAAGAGGCTCTCAACCAGAAGTCGCTCCCGATCCTCTTCACTACTGGGATCACTCATTTCGTTTCCAGACCAAGATACCGCAGACCCAAGCAAATACTGCCCCATAACCTGTCTTACATACCATATATAAGACACTAACGGCCATTTTGAGCGCGAGAAATACTAGTCACCTGTACTCAAATCATGTGATTTCACACGCTCAAAATGGATGCCGGGGCTGTGGTCGTGAAACCAAAGAATCACTGCTTATTGACGCGGTTATCGGCAAAGTGGTTAAACGCAACCGTTGGAACTTCTCCGCCGCTTGGATAGACTTTTATAGGATAGACATTCTACTCGGTACCCGTACAAGGTAGACTGAGAAACTTCCTCGAGCAATGTATGGGGTAGTGGAGTATGATCTTTTGTGATCGGAGATCCGCATAAGGATAAGATGGGGTAACTTCCAGAGCGATTGTCTGATTCCAATTTGGTTCTGCCTCTCCCTGAACCAGTACATTACTGGAGGGCTCCGGGAGAGGATTTCAGCTTTGCAAGAAAGGAACAAAAGTGTCCCACCATTTTCACATGGACAATCTAAAGTTATTCGCCTCCAGTCGCTCTTACTCGTATGTTATTGAATTGCTGAACATTACTTGTGAGTTCAGCATTTCTATCAGAATGGAGATGGGGCGGATAAGTGTGCGGTCCTACATGTCGAAAGGGGTAGGGTAACTAATTCTGAAGGCATAGACTTATTTATGCCCATCAACATAATGACCCTTTCCGAGACCTGATTAATTCCCATACCGATACCTGGGTATGTCACAGAACGTAGGTATCGATGAGATGAACATGAAACAGTCAGTTTGCGATGTATTTTGTACACGCTTGACAAAAATGCTTAACAGTCTTTTGTCGGGCGTTAATAAGACTCATAATTATAATGGTTGGGTCATGTTTGTCCTCATGTACACCTTTGGCATACTCAGGTGGACTCAGACCGAATGAACGCTCTGGATAGAAAATTCCTCAGGGTCAAATTTCTAACTTTGAAATTTCCTCACGTCCCAAAGACTGGATCAACCGAGATCATCGTAATGAGGTTGTACTTGCCACGTAAACATGGCGGGCGCGGCTTTTTAAGCGGTCTCACCACGCATAATCGCGAAGTGTATAACCTTGGTAACGACTTCCTGGTGAGATCAGATAATCCTTTCTATAAGGACGTCATTTCGTGTGATAAAGGGCTAACCCCCCTACCTTATTTTATCTTATCCTTAGATTTTACCTTATTTTACCTTATCCGTAGACAAAGAAGAACGGCAAAAGCCAGCAGTACAGTGCATTTTCGACTGGCAGACCGTATGGAAGGAGAAGCAGCTTCACGGAATGTTCTTCAAGGTTCAAGGTTCAAGTTCTGCGGAGGCATGAGCCTTTTGTAGACTCAGTTGCCTCCCTCCACTGGCTACGTTTTGGTGACTTTTTCGGAGAAACCGATGGTTTTGTCTGTGCAATACAGGATCAGGTTATTAAGACCAACAACTATCGGAGAAACATCCTAAAGGATGACACCGTCGACATCTGTGGAGCATGTCGCCATCCCGGTGAGTCACTTAGGCATGTCATCTCGGGTTGTTCGGCGATTTCTAGCTCTGAGTACTTGCACAAGCTCAACCGAGAAGTTCTACACCAGGAGCTCGCTCTGAAATACGGTCTCGTGGATCGGAAACTGCCTTATTATAGGTACTTCGACGGGAAGCCGTGCTCGAAAATAATCGCGCATGGCTCAACTGGGACCAGGCTATCATCACAGACAGGACTTTTCTTGCGAATAAGCCTTGCCTTGCCTTTTCTTGCCTTGCTGATGGACCGGGCATAGTCATGGATATTTTTGGACGACATTACTATTCCGTATGACGAGAAGCTTGGGAAAGCCGAAGCAGATAAGAAAACAAAATATCTGGACCTGACTCACGAGGTGACCGACATGTGAGATAGTCTGCCGAGCGAAATTATTCCTGTAGTTGTCTCTGCGAACGGGCTAATCCCAGTCAGCCTCTCGGATCCTCTGAGGTGACTAGCACTCCGTGACGGACTGCTCCGGGCTTAAATGCAGACGGCGGTGCTATTCGATACCGCCCGCGTCGTCTGCAGGTTTCTTTCCCTTTCCCCCTAACTCTCGGCCGTTTGGTCTCCCCTGCCGAGGGCTTCCATCTGGTTGAACTTTCATTTATTTATGAATTATAATAGATATGATATTTTTCCCAGCAAACATCATCCTGACGGTGCGAAAAATTCTCGGCCTATTTCTGTCCAACCTGAAGCTGGGCCGATTAGGGCCCTTGCCTTTGCGATACGGTCCTCAATCCTTCTTATCCATGCTGAATATATTATAATAATACATATATTTATAGGTAGTTAATATAGTTAGTTATTATTTGTGTATTCTTATTCATATATTATATTAAATATACTAACATAAATAAAATTATAATGCATAAATAAATGAAAGCCAAACCAGAGAAACGGCCGAGGGTTAGGGGGAAAGGGAAAGAAACCGGCAGACGATGCGGGCGGTATCGAGGAGCACCGCCTTCTGTTTTAAGCCCGGAGCAGTCCGTCACGGTGTGCTAGTCACCTCAGAGGATCCGAGAGGCTGACTGGGATTAGCCCGTACGCAGAAACTACTACAGGAATAATTTCGCTCGGTAGACTACCTCACATGTCATTCACTTCGTGGCTCACGAGTCAGGTCCAGATATTTTGTTTTATTAAATATATTTATGTATATTTATCATTTCCTTTTATATATTTGTTAAGCCCAACTAAATGAGAATACTATATCCCAATAATAATAATAAATCGGTTAGGGCTGAAATGAGAAGGCGTTGCTCCTTGAAACCATCTGCATCATCCCCCCCCCGTAATTTCTTTCCCTTTCCCCCTAACCCTCGATCGTTTTGTCTCCCTTGTCGAGGGCTTCTATCTTTTTGGATCTTTATTGATTTATTTATTTTTCTATATTTATTATTTCGTTTTACATATTTATACAGCCCTACGAGATAATAACAGGTACTACAAAATACCACAGGATAATAATAATGAATAGGTATAGGTAATGCTTCAGTGGAGAACGTTCGGCGGAGCGTGCTGCGGGGCGTACGGTGTGGTGGCATGGCAAACACTTGCTTTTGTTTTAAAATCCTAAATGTCACCGAGTTGTAGAGTAAACACGCCACTCGCTACACTGAGCGCTTTCACTAAGGGCTTAGGCTAAGATCTCAGTGTGGAGCGTTCGTTGAGGTGGGCCGTTTTTTATGTATGTTAGGGTCACAAATGAACACACAGTCCACCTGATGGCAAGTCAATAATGTGGTCTATAGACATTAAGAATCCAAAAACATTGTCAACCCTGAGGAAAACTTATCAGCTGAATGGTCTGGGAACGCATTGAAGAACATACAAATAACTAACCCTTGTTTTGTTACAGGTGTACTCAATCCTAATGTGTCAACTGCTGATCACCATGGGCTTCATTGCTCTATTCCTATTCCATGAACCAACGAAGCGATGGGTGGCACAGAATAGTTACTTATTGTAAGTAAAACGTTTTTAATAAGCCGAATTTGCCGAATCTGTGGCCCACGCGCGTATCATTTTCGTTGATTGGGAATCAAAATGCAGATGTCACCTATAAGGATATTAACGGAATAAGGATGTAATGGCTCTTCGCTAGTAAAAAGGGTATTCGCTTCTCGCTACTTACTATACGAAAACACAGCATAATTTATGCTGCTATCTTACGTTAGTCTTTTATGCAAACTTGTTGCTTCCGCGTTGAGCTACACATTAAGCTTTACCACGTATACAACACTTTTGTTTGTTTACTTTCTAAAGGTCACGTAGCTAGAATACCAGCGTAAAATAGCAGCTTAATGCTGCTGTGTTTCGTATGGTGAGTGTAGAGATCCGGAGACCCTTTTTTACTGGATACGAGGCATTCCATCTTAGTCCTCAGGGGTGACAACGCATCTGCGTTTTGATTCTTAATCGAGGATAGATGTAGATGTTTATGGGCCACAGCATCCACTTACCATCAGGTGGACTGGTGCTCGTTTGTCACCCTTATTCTATATAAAAAAGCTGATATTGATAGATTGGATTTAGCACATGTTATAGATATACAAGATAAAAATATTAAACTGGTCCCAAGAGGTACTAGGTTTCCATTTATGTCTAGGAGTTCGTACTGGTTGATATCTTCCTCTAACCTATTCTGCATTCAATTAGAAGTGTAACCGATGCTGTATTCAGGCAAGTTATAATATAGCCAGGAAAATTAATGCTGTTTGATATTTCCGAAGCTGGGGACGTCTTTGTTTGAAGTTAGCTTGACCTTTACTATCGGCGGAATTATTTGTTAGTCCAAAGTTATAAATCCAACATTATGTTGAAATGTTGATTTTAAAAGAAGTTAAGAAGTCAACAAGTTTTACAATGTTACCAACTTTGGGAAACTTGATAAAAACTTTCAAGTAAATTGTGTTTATTTCTCAACGTTCAACCTTCAAAGTAAATACAAAGTTCTAAAGTAGAAAGTTTTTCATTATGGTACATTAGTTAGAACATTAGAACCGTGTGAAGTTAGAACGAGTGAAGCGAGTGCAATAACTTATTAACCCTAGCCTGTGACCCTACGAAGTGACAAGGTCAAAGATGCCTACTAAACTTATTGTTTTATTGCCGTTCGTAAAGTAGAGCGGATATGATTTGAATTTCGATAAATTTTAATTAATTAATTTATTTTATTCAAAATTTTTGTTTTAGTTTTTGTAAAATATCAGTGCCACAGGCTTCTACTCCGTTCACATGTTACACCCTATTTTTTTCCAGACGGTAAAAAGTCCAATGGATGGATGATATATATATATATATATATATATATATATATATATATATATATATATATATATATATATATATATATATATGATGTGACACAATATAGAGATAAAAATGTACAAACAATTTAAATGACTTCATGTGAAGTAGGTATTTATTTAAATTTCTTGTTCAAATGATTTAATGTTTTGTTCGTAATTTAAAGTATTCTAATAGATGTTACTAATTAAAGTTCTATTTTTCTGTATTTATTATTATTTTTCAATAAGAATTTAAATATTTTTAAATTATAAAATATATAAATAGCGCGTAAGCGTGACTTAAACGTGGTTTTAATTCACCGTGTACAATAAAGTATTTTTTTGTAAAAAAATTACGCAAATGGCATATTTTTTAATAGTGTCTCACCAGCAATTCCTCACTTTGCGTTGCTGGCGACACACAACTATATTTTTATAACTTTTTCTATTGTTGCTAAGTCTTAACTTTTTTATAGAAGTGAAAGACAAAGTACACTGGTAGGTAGAATTTAAACGAATTCTGTGGCCAATAGACGTACCTACAACTCGGAGCTCTTGGTTATAATAATATGGTGGTCGCCATCAAAATAGGAGCCTATATCTTTTTGATACTTCTGTATTATGGCTGCAGCATAGACCGGGGAAGAAAATCTCTTGCACGGAATACCATGCATATTACTGTGAGAAATCTTACTTATTATTTTCTTTTTTTTTACAGCTGGGTAGCGTTTGGGGTTATGTTCGTGTGCCTGATTGCAATGGCCTGCTGCCCGGAAGTACGACGGAAAGCGCCCACAAATTTCATATTTCTGTTCATTTTTACGTTGGCGATGAGCTTCCTGCTTGGAATAACCACCAGCGTTTATGATGTCAAAGAGGTGAGATGAACAGTCTGAAACAGAAAACTTAGTAAGCAAAGTATACTTACATTAGTTCTTGATTAATAACGAATCTAAGGGTTGAATAAAAATATTTTTAAGGATTTTATCGCGTTTAATTTTCGGGGGGATCCCCCATGACCAAGAGTGCTGCAAAACACCCGAAACGTGGAACTAAAGATAAGTAAAAATTAAACGCGATAAAATCCTTAAAAATAGTTTTATCCAATGTGTAGTGTTCGCGTAAATATAAAGAATCTAATGGACGCCACACAGGCTCAGTTCAACTAATCATTCCAACTGATCAGTTCAAACTATAACAGTTGATATTTTCTAAAATATTGAATTTTCGATTTTTGATAATTATAAATATATCAATATCGGAGTTTTATATATACATGTTTATTTATCGATATATCGAAAACCCAATATTTTAAAAAATATCAACAGTTTTAGTTTGAACTGATCAGTTGGAAATATCAGTTTTACTGGTCGTGTGTGGCGACCATAAGGTTTCGTATAATAATGTGTTCGGACTGTTGCTAGGGTGCCACACTTTTGCAGTACTTTAACAACGTTTTGAGGGAGTTTTCATTAATTTTTCTTATATAATTATTAAGAAAGCGGTATGACCAACTAAATCGCTATCATTTTTGCATATCGCATCCTTAAAGTATTTGCTATCAGGTAGGACTCACCGACTGCATAGCATAAAAGCGGTGTGATTAAGTTTATTTGTATTTCTTTATCCCCTCGTCTGTCCAAACGCCATATTCTGGTGTCTCAAATAATATGCGCATCTGTCAAACGCTATAATATGGCGTCGAGTGATAGCAAACTATTTGTAATATATATATGATATATATATAACGTACATATATATATATCATATATATATATCTGTTATGCATGATATGATAGCTTATTTAATAACGTTTCCATTGATATATGATTTTAATATACTTACTTAGTATATATATACAATATGTAGGAAATAGAGTAAATGGGGCCTTGCACTCTATTGTGAAGAGTCAAAATGTGTCGAAAAAGGCACGTATGGCAATTCACAATGCTGTGTTGGTCCCTACTTTAACGTATGGTAGTGAAAGTTAGGTGTGGCAGAAGAAGCACGAGAGTAGAATGATGAGAATGAGTGTGAGAGATGAGAGTGGAATTACTGGGTCACCCGTCCTGTAGCCCCGACCTTGCACCTTGCGATTTTTATTTAATTTCCAAAATAAAAGAAAAAATTCAAGGAAAACGTTATATGGATGCCGAGAAAGCAGTGACTGCGTTTCAAAATGCCGCCGTAGAGACCCCTAAGGACGAGTGGGCAAAGAACTTTTTTCAGTGGTTCCATTGGATGCAGCGATGTATTGTTGTAAATCGACACTATTGTGAAAAGATATAATAAAACTAATAACTTGCTAGATTGTTCCGTTTTTAATTTTCTAAGGACTTTCAGTGTCACCATCGTAGAAGTATATGGTTTGAATTTCGATAGATTTTAATTAATTAAATTAAATTCAAAATTTTTGTTTTCATTTTTTGTAAAATATCAGTGACGTAGGCTTCTACTTCTTTCACATGATACACGCTCTTTTTTCCAGACGGTAAAAAAGGTCATCCAGTACATATACTTAGTAGCAAAAATGGATCGGCTCGACCAAGAAAGGACCATGCTATAGCAGTGCACAAACGTAAATAGTAGCTGTTGTGTTTCGTAAGTTGAATGACGACAATCGGGGACTCGTTTTTATTAGAATCTAAAAATACCATGTCCATCGTCAGGAATGATCATAAAGCATCGGCATTTTGACTTTTAAACGAGTAGAGAGATAGATATGTGCATAACAGAAGATATATGTATAATAGGAAAAGTAGATATATTATGTACACTGATCATGCATATGTCATGCGGTGAAGGTGTAATAATGTACTTGTCCCGTAGGGGTCACAAAAATCGGTTAAGTGAAATGCCAGAACGATCTAATGGATTTTGACGGTTGGTGGTATAACCATGTTTGCGTCAGGCATAAAATACTTCGACTAGCAACTGGGACTATCAAATGGAGTAAGTATCAAAGGTGCGAGATGTCTGGCACTGCGAGCGCGAGGCGATTAAGAGGATTGTGAAGTGCTGATACGCGGTGCGAGTAGGTATTTTCAAAAATGCTATTCTGTTTCACATCCCTCGCTCCGTATCACCGTCGTGCGATAGAGAGAGGTGCAAATGTTGGAATAATTGCCTACTCCTTTTTAAAATATTGCTTCGAGCGATAACGTTTTCTTTCAGTGAAAGTGAAAGTTTCGTAAAGGTTTAGGAGAGTGAAAAGTTTCCACCCTCTTAAACCTTTACGAAATGCGACAATTTTGGTCTCATTACATTACATTACAATATACCTTAACTTAGGTCTGTACGTTTTCCTTTTTTAGTAATTCAGTTTAGTTTAATTAAAACAAAATAAAAAGGTTCGAGGAAGTTTTGAAGTCAAAAATACAGATGTTTAGATAATAATAACTTATATCGCACGCAATAATTCCTTAAACAAAAAAGTAGGTACGGACCTAGTTTTTAAATATATCTACAAAATTTCCAAAAATGACAAAAAATAAACTATGTTTACGGGAAGGAAAACGTTATCGCTTTTTGTATGAAAATTTACAGCTTCACAATCCTCTTAAGACAAATTCTTTCTCCAACGGAAGAGGCCCATGACTAGCCGTGAACTTTCATTGACGAAGAAGAAGAAGAAGATGTCTGTGCACCGCAGTCCCCACTTAACATCTTGTGGACTGAGTGTTAGTCACTCTATCTCTCTCGCCTTTAGTCTGTGATCATGATTCATGAATTGTTGTCTTAAGAGCTGCTTCGGATGATGTAGACGGCTCCGTAGCGAAGTGGCTTAGCTATGAGTTGTAGCGCAAGGGCCCGCGGGTTCGAATTCCAAGTAAAAGTATTTGTATGAACTACAAGTATTTATTCCGAGTATGGATGTTCGTCCTTGTGCGTGTGAACTTGCACCATGAGACCGGAGAAAATCCTGTGTGGAGGTGGGAGTAACGTTTTTTTTAAAAAGTATTGTTAACAGGTGATGATGGCGGTCGGCATAACTGCGGGAGTCTGTCTTGCGCTGACTCTGTTCGCCTTCCAGACTAAATGGGACTTCACAATGATGGGTGGAGCGCTCGTTGCTGCCAGCATGGTGTTGCTCTTGTTTGGTAAATATATCATTTTTATAATGAAAGAAAACCGTTGGGATCCTCCTCATTAGAAAGAAAAAAAGAAAGAAAAGTTATTTATTAAAACAAATAGCAACAATACACCTGTTTAAAAAAATATTATAGACTAAACAACGTTTAACTAACTAAAAAAAACTACATCCTAAATAAAATTTATATTTTTGCTTCTGCAATGCAATCATAAGCTTTATTACGTGTGCGTGTTTGGTACGAAAGGAGTACAAGCAGCGTTTCACCATAGCCGGCATAATTTCGTGGTATTATCCACGAAGCTGGTTTTCAGTGCACCCTCTAGTGAGTAACGTACGGACGAATATACAAGTACAACTATTACTACACTACAAATGTTTCACCGCACCACACATAAACATATTGTGAGTAAGAAAGAACATGAGGTATGTAGATTTTTTTATAGCATTGGGTGACAAACGAGTACACAACCTACCTAATGGTAAATTTGTCATGGATGCCATGGCCCATAGACATCCTAATTTATCCTCAATTAAGACTAAAGATGCAGGTGCGTTGTCACGGAACAAGTATTTGTATGGCCTACAAATAATTGTTCCGGTCTGGATGTTTGTCCTTGTAGAATTTATGTTTGTAAACTACCTCCACGATACAGGAGAAAATCCCAGTGTGGGGATAACGGTATTTAAAAAAATTACGCTGGAATTCTCTACCTACCCCGGTCGAACCGACCCATTCGTACTACAACTATATAGATGCAGCGTGGCTCTACCACGTAGAAAACGTTACGAAGTAATCTTTATAAAATATAACTTTTATAATAATTGTATCGCAACAATATAATAAATTATAATATGTAATACTACAACTACCTACTAATATTTCTGTTGTGGTGTAGCGTTTTACACATAATATAATATACGGATTGACACCCGGGACAGTAAAAATTATTTGCAGGTTATATATTAGGTCTTTACCTATGAAATTGCCATTTTTAATGAAATAAGTTAACGTAATTTTTTCTTTATTTTATATTTCGATTAATCAAAGTAATCACTCACTTCTTGAAGAAATCAGCTGTACGCGAGGCAATAAATTCTTCAAAAGCATTTTATACTGCCTCTCGGGTATCGAATTTTTTTTTCCCGCCAACAAGTTCTTCAAATTCTGGAAAAAGCAGAATTTTGTAGGCGCAAAGTCTGGTGAGTACGGCACATGACGGAAAGCTTCCTACCTCAGCTTTTGTAACTTGGAGACGTCTGTTGTGCAGTATGAGGTCGCGTGTTGCCGCGCATGAGCCGGGGGGACGAGCGATTGACCAAAGCTGGGCGTGCTTTTCATTATGTTTAGTTCTTCATAGTACACATCTGCAGTAATGCTCATCCCGTTTGGTAAAAAAAACTGTGATGAATCACACCGGTGCTAGACCGCCAAACGGTGACCATGACTTTTCTAGGGGTAAGTTTTCATTTAGGACATTGTTTAGGTACTGGACCAGGATCCAGCCAACTTGCTGAGCGCTTGCGATTGTTGAACAGAATCTATTTTTCGTAGCAGGTAACAATGCGGTTCAAAATTCCTTCATTTGTGTTCCTGTTGAGCAGTGCATTTTCAATTGTCAAACTTTTTATTTAGCCAATTTGACGCATGGAACAATATTGTTTAGATACTAACGTCGTAAGCTGTTGCTAATTCAGCCGTAGATAGAGTATCATCAGCTTTTCCACAATCGCCTATAATTCGTCATTGTCGACCAAAGTTTTCGGACGACCACGGGGTTCATTTTTCAGGTCGAAATTTCCAGAACGGAAGTGGGCAAACTATTAACAGGTGGTGCGTTCGTTTGCAGTATTCGCTCCGTAATCGTCGTTGGTGTTGCGTGCCGCTTGTGCCGCGTTGCTGCTGTGACGGTACTCGTATTCCATAATTACTCGAATTTCTCTTGAAAAAAAAACTCAAATGCGATGAAAACATAACGCTTATCAATAAACAAATGAATAATTTAAAAAAAAAAAGAATTCTATTTTTTAATATAAAATTAATTTGAAACTGGAATTCGTAGCGAAATAAAAATTATTTTTATTTGAAAGTACTGCGGAATGGCAATTTCATAGGTAACGACCTATTATATATTTGCCCGGAGCGAAACACAAACGGTTTTTGTCAAATTATTTAATAGAATAAGGGTGACAAACGAGCCTACAATCCACTTGATGGTAAGTGGATTCTAAATATTTCCTCAATAAGCTACTGCAGAAAGACAATTCATAGGTAACGACCTATTATATATTTACCCGAGGAAACAGTTTTTGTAATATTTAATAGATAAGGGTGACAAACGAGCCTACAATCCACTTGATGGTAAGTGGATTCTACATCTTTCCTCAATAAAGAATCAAAATGCAGATGCGTTGTCACGCCTGAGAACTAAGATGGAACACTAACCATGCGAAACACATCAGCATTAAGCTGCTATTTTACGCTGGTATTCAATAAGAGCGTGGTTCTTCCCTAGTGCTAATATTCGTGCTACAACTAAACTAATATACCTGCAGCATGGCTCTACCACAAACAGCTTATGGTACGCAGATCACTAGCAATACGCACTGGTTGTGTATTTTATATTTATTACTTATTTATATGTATTAATTGAGTATTTAAATTAAAATTTTCAGGTATCATTACTATCTTCACCCCGAGGAACGACATAGTGAACCTCGTTTACGCAGCAGCCGGTGCACTTTTGTTCTCTCTTTATCTGGTCTACGATACACAGCTTATGATGGGTGGCAAGCACAAGTACAGCATTTCCCCAGAAGAATACATCTTCGGGGCACTAAACCTCTACTTGGACATCATCAACATATTCATCTTTATTCTGTCAATTATTGGCGGCTCGAGAAGTTGAATTGTTACTTTGTAACGTAGTGATTGTATCTTTTATAACTTTAGGAATAGAATGTGTCACATCATATAATGGGAACGAAAGTGGATCTAAAGAAATAATTTTCGTCCTATGAATTAAAAAAATATATTTATCAATATCAACTTTACATGAAGAAAGCCATGTTAGCTCCGATTCTAAGCGCCTACTGTAAATTTAACAGCGTGCGAGCAACCCATGTTACCTTTCCAACGGCTACTATTAACTAGATGTGCCCCGCGGTTTCACCCGTGTATATCGCACGTCTGAGCCCCGCAACATAATAATTAATAACTATTCATTATCCCATAAAATATGCATCAAAATAACATGCTGTAAAGAGTGAAGTTTATCTTCAAAAAATTGTCTCGATGATATAGTAAAACTTTTGTTCGTAAGGATTAATATGACGTCTTATAATAACGCTCATAAATAACTATTTAATTTTTAATAATTTTTGCCACAGGTTTTGCCACATTGTGCCTTATATACTTATAAGAAATAGGCATATGGTATCGCGAACTTTTTTTTAGATGAAGTAAAGATCAATACTATGTAGAATATTGTATTCACGTCACGTTTCAACGTTCACGTTTTAGCGTAATGACACTAGCGCGCGCGGATCAAGTAGTTCGGGAGTGCTTTTTCTTCCGTAAGGATAGCTGACAGGTGAAGCCTATGACCAGCAGTGGGATGTATAAAAGCTGGAGCTTTAACTTTACTAATTCTTTTTTGAATTTTCGTGTTTAGTGTATTTTTCTTTTAAAGAACCGCGGTTAAAGACAGATTACATTTTTACTTAAATTATATTTTTTATTTATTTATATTTTTTATACTTAGAGATTTGAAAATACTAACAATTCCGTGCATATACATCCTTGAAACAGCAAAATTTGTTAAAAATAACTCCGAGCTGTTTATAACTGCTGGAGATATCAACTATAAACCTTTGAGGCAACCAGATAAATTAGTCGTTGATAAAATACCAAAAACAGTTAATTATCATAAGAATTACTATGCAATGTGCATAAAAGTATTTAACGCTGTACCCCATAACATAAAACTACAACCAAGACAGAGTTTCGGGAACGAGTTGAAAAAAAAACGTAAAAACATAAACACTCACGCCTGTCACCCAGAGTTGAAAAAGTGACTATTTAATAAATCTTTTTATTCGGTTAGTGAGTTGTTGAAAAAACAATATCTTTAAATTTTGGACCATTTTTTAATAATAATATTTTTATACTTAATATATAATGTGACATGAAAATATAAATATTAATGATGTGATAGTGCAAATAATAGTAAAAGTTTTTGTTTTATTATGTCACTTTCTGGTTATTTTTGTTTTTTTTTTTGGTTAATTATTATCAATGTTTTTTTTTGTAATTTTAATCTATATTGTGCTTAATAACACTTAATGTTTTTAAATTTCTATCATTTTGTACACTAGAAATGGTTAATGTGTTGTACTATATTTTTATAACAACTGTAAAACACACACATTATGCAAAATAATCAAATAAATAAAAAAATATAAAAATTATACTGTTATCGTTACAGCCTATATATAAAAAAGACACTGACGAACACAGGCTTCGCCCAGGGTTATTTTGCAATATACGGCCAAGTTTGCAAATGAGGTTCAGAATAAATAAATAAATAGACGAATGGTAAAGAAAGATTAATAAAAAAAAATTCAGACATTTTGTCCTTTTTATCTTTTAAATTCAGAATGCGTGGTAATGCATTATTCTGACCGATTGTCATTCATAAATATCTAACGCCTACTATTTTACTACGCACGCACACATTCGTAAGGCTCGATCGATCGGCAAAAAATGTGAATTATTGCCCAAAAATCGCATTAAATTCGAGATAATTAAAAAAAAGTAGAATCCTCATTTACTCGTATTTTAAAAACTAGAATAACGGTATATCATTATTTATATATTTGAATTTGGCTACTGTTTGAAAATAATCCTGTAGAAAACCTATTCGCCATATTCCATTTGGCAAGCAGGTTGGAAACAGCGGTTTTTTTTTGTTATTAGAGAGACTGCTGCTGATCTCCCGGTTTGTTTCCATCTGTCGACTTTTAAGAGACCTACGGGAAGGTATAGGGTATTGGATTCTTACACCGCCACTACTTCGGTTTTATTTCGTACTCGTATGTACAACGTTTGAAAATAAAGTCAATTACAATTTTTAAAAGAAGTGCGAGATTCATTTTAGAATCATCATTTCGCATGTGTAAATCCATAAGTTATCGTATAATATTACCATACGTTGATTGTAATAATTATGTACTTATGTTATACTTAATATTTTAAGAAAAGTGGTTTTAATTAAATGTCACGATTTGTGACATTGTAACTCACCTGTTTATAAAAGTGCGTTTATTCTACATCAAAATATTTTGGATACAAATTTCAATTATTCATAAATTGTTTTAAAATGAAATTAAATTCATAATTTAATTATAATAACTTCGTAAATGGTGATAAAAATGCCATTGAACTGTAGTCACTTGTATTATCTGTTCTGTCTCAACCAACGGCTGGATAGATGTTCTTGATTTATTGTTGATTGATTTTTTGCCGAGTTTGATGTTTTTTATTATAAAATGATATTTAACATAATATGTACTGTACTAGTTAAATCTGTAAGATGAGCTAAATGTGCATTTATTACACCTGTGATTGTGATATAAAAATTAAAAATAAAGGATTATGAATTTTTTATTTTTAAACTAACATTTATTTGCCTGACTGAATTTCATTAAAGCAAAACTGGCTCGATCCAGTCGACCCAAACGTCGCAGGCATATCACATAATGTCACTTCACCAAATGGGACAAACACTGCTAGGATTACGAATGGGGCGCGTCGCACCCGTAGACGGGGACGGATTCCAGCACACACCGCGTACACACCGTACACCCGCGTTCCTGGGCGGTTCTCACCGCCCAAGCCATCGACCGACACGACCTGAGCAGTCAGAGACAGGGCTCCGCACTCCCCCCCTCCCTCGGACAGCGGTTAGATAGCTCAAAAACGCCTAAAAAGGCGACATGATGATTGGTAACAATACCAAATCATAAACAATTCATCATCATCCTCACCTCATTGCCTTTCCCTTTTTTAATTAGCGGCCTCCAAGGCCGCGAGCCCTGAGTCAAATGAAGCTGTAAGAATCTCATAGACTAACAGCGTTAACATCCAGAAACTAGACTAAAGTAAAACATAAACTAAAGTAAAACATAATATTGGTATTGGTGGAGCGGTAGGGTGCTAATTTTATATCCGCCCCGAATGAACCAGAAAATGATTGCGCGATTGTTCTGATTCTAGTCCGGGTCGAAGTAACCAGAAAATGGTGACGCTAATGGGCCTGGGTTCGAATCCGGAACGGATGGTCACTAAATGGTTAGGGTAACTATGTTACCCTTCGTATCCGGATCGAATGAACCTGAAGGTAGTGAAAGTAATATAATCTACGAAATATGCGTTTTTGCGCAACCAGGTATGTATCCTGGTATCTGTTTATTGTGCGACATTATATGCCAAATTATTGGGGGTGGTCTCGTTATTTGACAAATCAATATAGTTATGAAAAAAATTATATTTTTATTTATTTAAACATTAATTGTGAAAATTACTTATTTATAAAATTGACGATTGTTTAATAGTCTAAAATAAAATATAATTTATAACTGCGATTCAAAGTTCCTGTTGCAAACTTACAACGCTCTTTGTGAATCTTAAATAAGTTACGGTATCTGTTCATGGGACGAAGCTTTATTTTTATCAAAGTTGAACGAAGAACCTTCATATACACGATGTCTAGAACAGGAAGTATATTTGCATTTTGCAAAAGACACTACTCTGATGCATTACCCTATCGATATCATACGTCATACATGATGATGCCCCGATGAAACAAGTACATGTGTTGGATTGACACATGTCAAACACAAAAATAACATAATATATTATTGTATTATTTTGAGAAAAACAGACAAAACCTTATCAACCATACTTAATTTACTGTAAGAGAACACGAGTTTACGCACACATAATGCATCTAAAAGGTAAGTAAGGAAGGGTAGCAGCATCTTTCTAATAATCACAATACTAATAATATAAAACTCCAGTTGACGACACGTCGACCAAGCATAACAACTATGACAAATATCCGGTGTATGAGGCAATCCAGTAATGGACTTCTTCTGAGCTGTAATAAATGAGTCCTTTTTGTAGAATAGGGTAACGAGCAAGCACACAGTCCACCTGATGGTAAGTGGTTGCTGTGGCCCGTAGACATCTACATCTATCCTCGATAACAAATCAAAATGCAGATGCGTTGCCAGCCCTGAGGACTGAGATGGAATGCCTCGTTTCTAGTAAAAAGGGTCTCCGTTTACGCTGGTATTCTGTGAGAGCGTGGTCCTACCCCGGTTGAGCCGACCGATTCGTCCTGCAACCACAATATAGCTGCAGCATGGCTCTACCAAGTACAAATTAATATATATAGTATAATTGCGTGTTGTCGTAATAGGAGACAGAGGGACATTGAAATGAGAAGGGTAGCAGCATTTTTCTAACAATCACAATACTAATAATAAAAAACTACAGTTGCCGACCCGTCGGCCAAGCATGACAACTATGGCAAATATCTGGTGTATGAGGTAATCCAGTAATGGACTTCTTATGGGCTGTATTGAATGAGTTAGTGTCTTTTTATAGAATAAGGGTGACGAGCAAGCACCGAACCGAACAGTCCACCTGATGGAAGTGGTTGCTGTTGCCCACATCTACATCTATCCTCGAATGCGTTGTCACCCCTGAGGACTAAGATGGAATGCCTCGTTTCCAGTAAAAAGGTTCTCCGGTTCTCTACACTCGTCATACGTAACACATCAGCTTTAAGCTGCTATTCTACGCTGGTGTTCTGTAAATGGGTAATCCTTCCCAGGTCAAGCC